GAGATGATAACATTTTGAAGGAGCTATTAATGGCCAAGTCAATTGTTTCCTCCCTTAGATCTTCTCCCTTATTCTCCACTAGGTGCATTTCCTTTTGGGGAAAATGAAAAGTGGCTAACCCTAATTTTGCATATAAAATATGCCAATAAAGTGCATATTTATGATGTCATATTAGGGTTTGAAAATTGCACAAATTTCATTGGACTTTATTGTAGTAGATCAATTAAGTCACACAACTTTTATTGGAGTCAAGAGATGGACATAACCGGACTCACATAACCCAAGCTCCAATAGATGTGTCCAATTTGGTCAATTCTTGACCAATTCAGATCCATCTATTAATCCCGACTTATTCTACCAAAAAATCGAGATTGTACTCTCGAGTCAAGTGATAGTTATAGAAGCAAATTATGATCCAATAACAATATCCTCTGATTATCGTTCCACAAGTCAACTTCCATTTGACCGTCAATATGTTGAAACTGACAAAATGACCATTTTGCTCTTCAACATGTATTACCCTCTAAGTCCTATCTTCATATGGCAAATTCGTTGTGAAAAATCACAATGTAAACTCCAACGATCTCATCGTCGACCTACTGAGCTCAGATTCAATTTGCCTAGAAAAATACCTTAGAGTGACGATCTTCTCATCTCAATAATTAATGGATTCCACTATTGTAAATATATGATCTCTAATTATTTCAGCACAATTCCCAAAGCATCGAGATCAATCTTCTATTTAAGACTTCACTCATTGGTACCTCAAAGAACTTAAACTAGCAATCAAATGTACATTACCCACTTAGGATTTAGGTGACCTGTTTGATAATCAAGTAGAGTCTCATTTCAAACGGTCACAAATGAGTCATCTATGCGGTCCCGTTCAATGTGCATGGAAATACATTATTGTTCATATTTCAAGATCTAGACAAATCCTAATAAGAATAATACAATCTTGTCAACATAAAGCGTCCAACTTTATGAACCGATTGTAAACGACATAATTTGGATCACATCACAAATTGTGTCTTACAATACCCGATCCATCGAGTATACAATTTGTGCATCCTATATGATCATGGAACCTTAGACAATCACTTCAAATTATAACACGTAAATAAACGAACGTCAATTTATAATGTGATTTAACAGAACAATACTCGAAGAATGGGCATCAAGCTAATAATCTCTCACTTGCTTTTCTTAGAGTATGTGTGACATATCAAGAATACTCATCCTCTTAAGATGTCCATCAAAAGTCTTAGCTGGTAAGGTCTTAGTGAACGGATCCGCAAGATTATCTGCTGATGCAATCTTACTAACTGTCACGTCTCCTCGATGAACAATTTTTCTAACAAGGTGATATTTTCTCTCGATGTGTTTGCCGCGCTGATGACTCATGGGTTCTTTAGCATTGGCAACTATCGCAATAAAGCGTTATAGGCCCCATTGTCAACGGTACCACGTCAAGGTCCAAAAGAAACTTCTTGAACCATATAGCTTCTTTAGCAGCTTCATAAGCCGCTACATATTCTGCCTCCATGATGAAATCAGCAATACAAGATTGTATGATATTCCTCCATACCGCAGCTCCACCTCCCAATGTAAATAATGATCCCGATGTAGACTTCCTAGAGTCACGATCGGATTGAAAATCGAAATCAGTATATCCAATAGGATTTAGATCGTGTCCTGAATAGATAAGCATATAATCTCTCGTTCTCCGAAGATACTTAAGTATATGCTTCACTGCTACCCAATGTTCTGTTCCTGGATTAAACTGATAACGACTAACAATACCTACAGCATAACAAATATATGGTCTAGTGCAAAGCATAGCATACTTGAGACTTCCCACAGCCGAAGCATAAGGAACCTTTCTTAGGTAATCTATCTCTATTGCATTCTTGGAACAATGCTCTTTAGATAGATGAATTCCATGTCTAAAAGGAAATTATCCTTTTTTGGAATTTTGCATTACAAATCTGGACAATATTTTGTCAATATATGAAGTTTGGGATAATGCAATCCTTCTATTTTTCCTATCTCGCAAGATACGGATTCCCAAAACATAACTAGCTTCTCCCAAATCCTTCATATCAAACTGCTGTGACAACCATTTCTTTACAGATCACAATGTCCCTACATCATTGTCAATGAGTAGAATGTCATCTACATAAAGAATCAAAAAACTACTTTCTTCCCTTGTATTCGCTTGTACACAAGGTTCTTCCAGATTTTGCTCAAAACTATAGGTCTTGATGGTTTGATCAAATCTTACATTCCAATATCTAGACGCTTGCTTGAGTCCATAAATGGACCTCTGCAACTTGCAAACTTTCCTTTCATAGCCTTCTTTCACAAACCCTTCAAGTTGCATAATGTAAATGGTCTCCTCAAGACATCCATTTAAAAATACTGTCTTGACATCCATTTGATAAACCTCATAATCATAACAAGCCGTAATAGATAAAAGGACTCGAATAGATTTAAGCATGACAACCGATGAGAAGGTTTCTTCATAGTAGATGCCTTCTCTTTGGGTAAAATCCTTGGCCACTAGCCTTGCTTTGAAGGTTTCAACCTTCCCATCCATACCTCTTTTCCTTTTATAGACTCACTTGCATCCTATAGACTTTACCCCATTAGGTGCATCTACAAGATCCCAAACTTTGTTGGAATACATAGATTCCATTTATGAGTTCATGGCTAATTTCCATGATTCAAAGTCTACGTCCTCCATTTCTTCCTTAAATAAAGTGGGATCTTCTTCTTGCTCAGTAGAGATCACCTGATAGGATTCTCCATAGAGCAAGTACCTAGAAGGTGGTCTCACAACCCTCCCACTATAAGTAATGGTTGAAGGTGCCAGATTGTCCAGTCTGACCAAAGGTCCTTCTTCTCTTCCCACTGCTTGATCATGTCCTTGGTTAGGAATAACATCCTCATTATCCCCATTTGAAGGGACATGTAGAGATACAACAATGGGTGCCTCGTTCTCTACTACCTCTGGTTCTATTTGCCTATGAGGCCCTATGGGCATCACTTGCTTCATCAGCAACCATTGATTCAATAGGAGGTTCCAACTCATATCTATTAGATTCTATGCGAAAATCTGGAACTGAGTTGTTTGAACCATGTTCTAACATCTCTTCCAATAGAATCTTAGTAGTAGACTTGTGTTCTTCTATATACTTATCCTCTAAGAAGGTTGCATTTGTGCTAACAAATAACTTCTTATCAAGAGGATTATAGAAGTAGTAACCTCTCGTTCCTTTTGGATATCCTACGAAGAAACAAACATCTGATCTTGATTCCATCTCATACGTCTTTCCCTTTAGCACATGTGTTGGACATCCCCATATTCGAATGTGGTGTAAATTAGGCTTGCGCCCATTCCACAATTCAAGAGGTGTCTTGGAAACTGACTTAGATGGTACCAAATGCAAGATATAAATGGTTGTTTGTAGTGCATATCTCCAAAAGGATATAGGCAATGAGGAATAACTCATAATTGATCTTACCATATCTAAAAGAGTTCGATTTCTTCTTTCTGAGACACCATTCTGTTGGGGAGTTCTCGGTGCACTCAATTGGGATAACATCCCATTATCCGATAAGTAGACCTTAAACTCTTTGGATATATACTCACCACCTCGATCAGATCGAAGGGCCTAAATACTCTTACCTAATTGTTTCTCAACTTCCGTTCGAAACTCCTTGAATTTCTCCAAAGCTTCGAATTTGTGAGACATAAGGTATATTTATCCAAATCTAGAGTAATCATCTGTGAAGGTGATGAAGTAGTCGTATCCTCCTCTAGCCTTAATACTAATAGGTCCACAAACATCGGAATGTACTAATTCCAAAACCTCTTTAGCTCTTAGTCCCTTAGCCTTAAAGGGTCTCTTAGTCATCTTTCCTTCTATACAAGACTCACAAGTTGGAATAGATTCCACATCTAGCTCATTTAAAGGACCATCATTTACCAATCTTTGAATCCTATTTAGATTGATATGACCCAATCTAAGATGCCATAAGAGAGTTTTATTAGTACTAGACAACCTTTTTCTTTTCTTAGCAGTAGTAGTGTTATGTATAGATCAATCAAAGGATTTAAGACATAAAGACTATTAACCATATGATCCGAATATATAACAAAATTATTCAGCTTAATAACCACCGTAGAATGGATAAAAAGTACCGAATTACCAATATGACATAAAAGTGCAACAGAAATCAAGTTCCGTTTAAGTTCGGGAACATAATAACAGTCATCTAATATCAAATGCCTATGATTCTCAAAACATAAAGTAAAAGTGCCAACAGCTTTGGCAGATACCACTGCTTTAGTGCCAACCCTAAGAGTGTACTCCTCTTTACTGAGATACTTGGTTTCCTAGAACCCCTGCAAAGAATTGCAAATATGATTAGTGGCTCCAGAAGCTACAATCCAAGTATTAGTAGAATCAATCACTAAGCATGACTTAATGAATAGGGCATTATTGCCTTTACCTTGCTTCCCCTTAGCTAGGTAATCCAAGTAGTTCCTCTTCCAGTAACCCTTTTGTCCACAAATAAAACACTTTCCCTTTGGTTTCCCATCGACAGTAGTTTTCTTCCCCTTTGACTTGCTATCTAACTTTTTGTTTGGCCTCTTCCTCTTCTTTCCTCCTTTGCCACCAGAAAGCTTAGGATGAGAGGGTCCGACTGTAACAGTCAAAGCACTTCCACTTCTAGCCTTTAGAACAAATTCAGCATTTTGGAACTCTTTCATTAATTCTGTTAGAGACATATCTATCTTGTATAGATTATAATCAACTATAAATTAGGAGAACATCTCAAGAAGAGTCTCAAGGACCATGTCAATCTGCGTCTCGGAATCAATGTTAGCTCCTAAAACCTTCGCAGCATTGAAGTGACCAATCGTGGTCCCTTACAGATGCGCCCGGTTTCATGCGTGTGTTCATGATTGTCCTAATGGAGGCTTGCCTAACTTATCGGCTTTGATGTCCAAACATCTCTTGAAGGCTTTCAATTATGTCAAAAGCAGTTTCCATATTCTGATGTTTCTGTTGTAATACATTTAACACGGATGCCAAAATGTAACAGTGGGCCATCTTATCAGAATGATGCCACTTTTCATATGCAGCCTTTTGAGATTCCGTGGAGTCATCTTTAGGAGCTTCAAGACAAACTTCATCCAGTACAAATTTGTGTTTTTCAGCGGTAAGAACAATATTAAGATTCCTTTTCCAGTCAGCGTAGTTTTCTCCAACAAGTTGATTTTTGTTAAGTATTACTGATAAAGGATTAAGCGACATTTTTCTGTAAAATTAACGATTCGCGTATTAATAAAATGAGCAATAATCTTTGTATGATGCATGTATATGAATGTGCAAATATAGACCCAAAACTATAATTGTAATCAAAAACCTCAAACCCTTACAACTTTTAACACGTCCTCTATAGGAGGTCAATGTAGTTATTGGTAAAGTTGGGATCCTCCCACTCATTTTATTGAGCTAGGCATCTTATGCCACAAGAAAATGAGGATTGACTATTATTTGGCCTATGAATAATTTTGTTGAAATCTTCTATAGGAAGCCCCCCCAAAAATATTCATATATAAGTGTAATAACCTTCATCAATAATTTTAAAATATACGAAATATATAAGATATTGTCTATAAGATGATCATCCCATTATTACATTTTTAAAGGAATTCTATTAGTAGATCCAATTTCAGTTAATCTAAAATAACGTAGTTTTTCTATAGAGAGACCGAAATAATTCGATACTTAACATACATATTTTAATAACAAATTAGATGACGGAGGAGGTCGTAGGTTTATATATGCCTATAAACTCTCTTCCACTTATTATTTTGCACCGTTGAATCTTCACTTAATTAGTCCGCCAAATATAAACAATTATAATAGCACTAATTATATAAAAAAAATAATTTAAAACCACCTCTAATTAATTTAGAGTGATAAAAAAATATTTAAATGTAGATGCATATGATTTTAGTGCACCGGGTGGTGTTTCATTTAATCTACATGACATGCGATAATAATTAAACATTCATCCATTCATAAAACGGTAAAAGCGATAATTAAATGAATAATAATCACTAATGGCCCATCCTAAGAATTTAAATTACAACATGGATAAAAAGAATTACATTGGGCCACATCCCGACCCAATTTCTTCAATTTTCTTTGTAGTCCACCTCATGTAACATGAACATAGGTTTAATTTAATTTTTAGGCCCAAAACTTAAAACCAACAAGGTCATTATCCAACAACATTGACCTAAGTATCAAAAAGAGGAGAATTACATTGGGCCACATCCCGACCCAATTTCTTCAATTTTATTTGTAGTCCACCTCATGTAACATGAACATAGGTTTAATTTAATTTTTAGGCCCAAAACTTAAAACCAACAAGGTCATTATCCAACAACATTGACCTAAGTATCAAAAAGAGGCCCAAAAAATCCAAATTACCCTAATTTTCAAATTCTAGCAAGAAAACATGCTTCCACCAAAACACACACTATTTCGGCGACCCCAAAAGAGGCCACCACGGACGCCGCCGTTGGCAGGCAGCCAGCAGCAATAGCTATGGCTGCTCTGACTGGCCTTTGGTGCTTCTTGGTTTTATTTCTTACATTTTCTCCTTCCTCCCTCTTCATTGAAAATACTACAACAAAATTTACGTTTCTTCCTCAAAATACGAGCGTGAAAATGAAAAAAAAAATTACAAAAAACTTTAGTGCCTTATGGCTTACAATATTTCTAGATAACAACTATAACAAATAAAATACAATAGGAAGTAAAAGGAAATTCTAGGGCCAAAAGTGATTATGAATGTATAAACAATAACTTTAAACATATTTAAAGCATAAACATGTCAAAATCAAATAACCTAACACCACTCAACTAAAATGAATATTACACTAGGATTTTAAAAAAAATAAAATTAATCATACTCAAGGCTTACAATAACCTTGGCTCTGATACCATTTGTTGGTTAATGAATTTTAATCATCACAATAGGAAATTAATTTTCCTTTGAAGATTAAAACCATGTAAATAAGGATCTTAATGACCTTGAGATCATTGGATTATAAAATCCTCACACATAGAAATGGGAGATGATAACATTTTGAAGGAGCTATTAATGGCCTAACCAATTGCTTCCTCCCATAGATCTTCTCCCTTGTTTTCCACTAGGTGTATTTCCTTTTGGGGAAAATGAAAAGTGGCTAACCCTAATTTTTCATATAAAATATGCCAATAAAGTGCATATATATAATGCCCTATTAGGGTTTCAAAATTGCACAAATTTTCTTGGACTTTATTGTAGTAGACCAATTAAGTCACACACCTTTTATTGGAGCCAAGAAAGGGACCTAACCAGACTCACATAACCCAAGCTCTGATAGATATTTCCAATTTGGTCAACTGTTGACCAATTGAGATACATCTATTAATCTCGACTTATTCTACCAAAAGATCGGGATTGCACTCTCGAGTCGAGTGATAGTTATAGAAGTAAATTATGATCCAATAACAATATCCTCTGATTATCGTTCCACAAGTCAACTCCCATTTGACCGTCAATATGTTGAAACTTGCAAAATGATCGTTTTGCCCTTCAACATATATTATCCTCTAAGTCCCATCTTCATACGGTAAATTCGTTGTGATCAAATCACAGTGTAAACTCCAACGATCTCATCGTCGACCTACTGAGCTCAGATTCAATTTACCTAGGAAAATACCTTAGAGTGACGATTGTCTCATCTCAATGATTAATGGATTTCACTATTGTAAGTATATGATCTCTAATTGTTTCGGCCCAATTTCCAAAGCATCGAGATCAATCTTCTATTTAAAACTTCACTCATTGGTACCTCAAAGAACTTGAACTAGCAATCAAATGTACATTACTCACTTAGGATTTAGGTGGCATGTTTGATAATCAAGTAGAGTCTCATTTCAAACGGTCACAAATGAGTTATCTACGCGGTCCCGTTCAATGTGCATCGAAACATATTATTGTTCCTATTTCAAGATCTAGACAAATCTTAATAAGAACAATACAATCTTATCAACATAAAGCGTCCAACTTTATGAGCCGATTGTGAACGATATAATTTTGATCACATCACAAATTGTGTCTTACTATACCCGATCCATCGAGTATACAATTTGTGACATCCTATATGATCATGGAACCTTAGACAATCACTTCAAATTATAACATGCAAATAAACGAACGTCAATTCATAATGTAATTTTACAAAACACTGCTCGAAAAATTGGCATCAAGCTAACAACAGAAACATGACCATGTGGCCCTGTTTGACAAGAATTTTTCATATTTATTAGGTCCAACCATCTAGTTTATTTACCTTTTGTAGAAATTGGGTTGCTGAATTTTGTAAAGCCCAAATATATGGGATGTACGCTACCGATTCTATTATAACTGTGGCCCAAATTGATGATCCAATAAACTGAAGAATCCAGAATTATGGTAAAAAGGTTTTTGTCAAACATGCCTTTTAATTGAAAATGCATTATTGTTGGATTGCTGACATGTGGTTGATCTTGCATCATTGGATGATATAATTGGATAAAGGCAAGGCCTATGACTTTAGGGTTTCATTCTGAAAATCTCTAAAAGCTTCCTTTGTTTAGTTTTCTCTATGTAGTTCTTGTTGGTGATTCTCTCTGTAAATACTTAGTGTTTTGAGTTTTTGAGAGGGAGTAAACAATAGTATTTCTCTTGTGTGAGTTGTTACCGATGTTTCGAGAGAATTTTGTAAGAGCAAGAGATCTAAGATCTTGGTGCTCTTGTAATTGAAATTTTTCCTATTTTTGGGCGGTGCTATTGGATTTGAACTTAATTCTAACGGATGCTCAATGGGGGACTAAGCTTTAGATTGTAGTTGCTAGACCTCTGGTGCCTTCGGCCAAATATCCTGGTATTCTTTTACTTTCTTGTTATTTTCTTTTATGATTTTTTACTTTGAATATTGAGTCACAAAGCTTGAGCAAATCTTGGAACAATAGTGTTATCAACTTATCAGAGCTTGAAATCCTTTTGAATCTTGGTTTCTCAAAACTATTTTTAAGAAAAATTCGATATGCTTTGAGTTGGCTCCTCTATTTTAAAGTAAACAATAGATCTGAGACAATCTGTTAATATTGTGTCAAGGAACTTCTTGGATCTGAACCTAGATTCGATTCTTGGTACTTTTGAGTATCTCTTTCATACTTGTAGTTCCGGTGAAGAATTTTTTCTTAACCTTCTTTTCTTTTCAAGAATCTGTTAAACGTTTTTGAAAACAAAGGATTTATGAAAATCTCCCTAAATTTACCTTTGTCAAGGGGTTCTTGAGAGAACTATAAAATTTGAGGAAATTAGGATATCAGCTTAAAGAAATCCAGAAGCGTTTTTATTATTTCTTGAAAAGTTATATTTCGCTACTTTGTGTGTATTGTAATATCTCTGATTTGGGTTTAAATTCATATACATGTTATGGGCTGTAGCATATTGCTAACCTTGTGCTGATACTCTAATTGTATTTTATTTGTAGAATATGTCCCTTCTACATGTGAATAATTAATATCATATGTTTTGAATCTTCTCCTCATAATATTTACACTGAGTGTAAGCATACTTGGCCATAGTACCTTTATTGTATAGTGTTTGCCTATATTTGGATTATATTCTCTATCTTTTAATTGGTTATTCAAAATTGATCTGTTTGATATATCCTTGTTTATATCTCACTTGAGCACAATTGTTACACTATTGCACAACATGACTACTAAAATAGATGTTTAGATGTAGGATGTCAGAGGAGACTCTAGTCTCTGGCGCTAGAAAATGAAACAGTTGAAATATACTAAAGTCATTGATGAATTTTGGCTAGAAAACATAGCTGCTGATGGGAAAACTGAACAAGGTGAATTAGCATAGAGTACTATGTTTCTGCACCTATCTGATTCTATATCTGTAATTAGAAAAGTAGGAAAAACTAAAACTGTTGTAGAATTGTGGATTGCTTTAGAAAAACAATACCTCATTAAGACTCTAACAAATAAGTGTTTTCTTTGGAGACAATTTTTTTTTTTAGTTTTAAGTTTGATCCTAGTATTGAAATGTGGACAAATTTAAAGGATCACTCAAGATCTTATAAACTGTGGTGAAAAGACCTCTAATGGGCAAAAAGTGGTTAGTCTACTTAATGCATTAGGAGAAAAATATAAAGACATAAAAATGTTTTAAAATATAGTAGAAATGA